TCATCGACTAGATTTGATTTCGTATTCTCTACGTGGAGATGCACTTCAGTGGTTTAAAAACAATAAATCTGCATTAACTACTTGGAGTATTTTTGTTCAAGAAATTAAAAAAGCATTTACATCTTCATTTTCTGAAGAATTAGCCTTTAAAACTCTCGAATCTTATACACAAGGTGAAAATCAGTCAATTCGTAACTTTTATAACGAAGTTTTGAAACTATGTAATGCGGCTGATTCTGGTATGAGTGAGTCGACAAAGCTCAAAAATTTATTGAACAAAGTAAAACCTAGTATACAACTTGAAGTACGTAAGAAAAAGTCAAAATCGACTGCAGAATTTCTCGAATTCGCAAAGGAAGTTGAAGAACTACTACAATTTTCTAATCTTCAAATCGATACAAGTACTCATCGTAATTTGAACCCGGTTAATAGTAACATACATACGAGTTCTTCGAGTTTTTTTCCATCGACTCGTTATAACAATTCTGATTATTACTATACTCCATCTCTACGAAGAAATTTCGGAAATAATGCTGTTTCAGCATCATTTACCTATCATCCTTCTCGTTCATCTAAATCAGATAAAACACAAAGTTATAATTCGTATCAGTACTCGCATGTCAATCAGTTTAATCCATCAGCTAATAATAAAAGTAGTAATAATAATAATCGGAAACAAAACCGTACACAACAGTTTCAAAATAGTTCTAAACATAATGTTAAATCGAATTCACGTACAGTCAATGCAGTATTTCCATCTAATTCATCAACTCAGAACGATAATGTCAATAGTTCCGATTCGTCTGTTGTATGTCAGATTTGCAACCAATTTGGACATGACGCTTCGTCTTGTTCAAGTTTTCACTAGCGGAGTCATCCACAGATAGTGTTGACTCCGGAAAACATATGATAAATCCATGAAAATCAAGTCTAATTTTTATCAATGCTTTAGTAAATAATCATAAAATAAAAATTTTAGTCGATACCGGAGCAACCAAAACATTCATTGATAATAGAATTTTACATCATGTAATACCTAAGAATGCCATACTAAAGCGACCGTATTCTTTTTTATTAGCCGATGGTGTTGCACCTTTCCATGTTCTTGGTTTGGTCAACCTATCTATTCAATTTGATACTTTTATTACAAATATTGATACGCATATTGCTGAATACTTATGTACAGATATGATCATAGGAATGGACTACATTAATAAATATAATCTGAATATAAACGTTAAGAAACAAATCGTTACTATTGAATTGGATAATCGCCTAATCGTAGTTCCGATTATTGATACCATTAAGTCAGTTAAAATACCAGTTGTTTCTTCTAATACAGTATTCATTCTTTCTCATTCCATACGAAATACATCAGTATCAATTCCTATTTCTTCTATTTGTTTACCGTTTATACCACTTTCTATTTTGAAACATTATAGATTTATTAGGCATAAAAACGAAACTCTTGATTTTCGAAATTATCATTCTAAAATTTTAATATCTAATACTACGATGAATCCAAAAATTATTAGAAAAGGTGCACGTTTAGGATATTTACTTTGTTGTTCAATGTTTCAAGATCCTCGCATCTTTCGCTCGTCCTTATATAAATCACTTGGAGCTACCAGACGTGCTGGTATGACTCCAGCATCCAGTGATTTTCTTACAGATAAGTGTTCTAATAATGATTCAGTTTCTTCATGTCAAGCGATTACTCAGCTACATAGTTATTCACAAAAACTAATTTCTAACCCAACCTCCTCAATTGATGATATTGTAGTAAAAAATATAAATTCACTCGTTGTTAAAATTCAAGATGATCAACAGAAAAAAAAAATGTTGTCATTACTCATGCATTTTCATAGTATTTTCGATACAACAAAGCATAATATTGCTCGAACTCCTATACCTCACGTTATTAATACTGTTCCTCATTCGCCTCCTGCTAGTAGACCGTACCCTCAACCTGATAAAGAAGAGGCAATGTACCAACTAATTCAAGATTTTTTGGAGGCAGGTCTTATTACGGAGTCGAATTCTCCTTATGCTGCACCGGCGATACTTGTCAAGAAAAAAGATCAATCTTTTCGATTAGTCGTCGATTATAAACGTCTTAATGGCATAACTATAAAAGATACTTCACCTCTTCCAAATATGGAAGACACCATTCAGAAGTTAGGGAAAGGATTTAATTATTTTTCTAAGCTTGATCTCAAATCTGGTTTTTACCAAATACCGATTAATGATAGTGATAAAGACAAGACAGCTTTCGTGACTCCATTCGGTCTTTATCAGTTCAATGTCTTACCGATGGGACTGCGAAATTCTCCTCCAACTTTCCAAAAAGTTATGGCGGATACCTTGAAATCGTGTCGTCAGTTTTGTTTGGTTTATTTAGACGACATTATAGTATTTTCAAAAGCTTTTTCTAATCACTTAGATCATCTTCGACACGTATTTTTCGCTTTACAAGCGAAAAATTTCGTTTTGAATCCTCCGAAGTGCGAGATCGCCGTTCAACAAATTGATTATCTTGGTCATACTATCAATAGGAATTGTATTAAACCAATGAAAGATAAGATAGACGCTATTCTACGAATAGAGGAACCGCGTACCTTATCTCAGGCGAATCGTTTCATTGGCGCTTTAGGATGGTATCGAAAATTCTTACCGAATTTCGCTACTATGGCAGCACCAATACATGCAGTTACTAATCTAACCAAACCTAATCATCGAAAATTTCAATGGCAACAGGCTCAGTCTGAGGCTTTCAAACAACTTAAATTGTTACTCACTACTGAACCTTTATTTCTTCATTATCCTGTAGACCATCTACCTCTAATTTTAACCACAGATGCTAGTAACATTGCAATAGGTGGCGTTTTACAGCAAGAGACAGATGGTAATATCCATAATTTGTATTATCACTCTCAACTTATGACACCCTGCGAGAGAAAGTATAGCACAATAGAGAAAGAAGCTCTAGTCATTTATAAATGTATTGAGCGTATGCGATCCTTCATATTAGGACGTAGTCTCATAATTATGACCGATCATTGTCCATTATGTTATATAATGCAAAAGACAATTAAAAATGCTAGAGTGAATCGATTAATACATTTGATTCAGGAATATAATATTGATAAAGTTGTTCATATTCGAGGTCGTTATAACTGTCTACCTGACTACCTTTCTCGGTATCCTAAAGAACAAGATGATGAGTTGAATGACGTTGAATATGGATTAGGGGTGGGACTTTACCTTTACTTTACTAGTAAATAGTAAATAAAATATTTACTATTTACTATAGTAAAGTAAATAAAATATTTACTATCTAGTAAAGTAAAGTAAATAAAATATTTACTATTTAGTAAAGTAAAGTAAATAAAATATTTACTATTTACTAAAGTAAAGT